AATACGGATTTTGCAATTTCCCTCCCCCCTTTTGGCTCACGACGAATAAAAAAAATCAGCACAATTGAGATAGGTCGGGTGGGCGAGGCTTACATTTTGCCTTTTTTTCTTAATATAAGTATGTAGTCCTCTTTTCATAACGAAAAACTTAAAACATTTGTATAGGAAAATATCTAGGAGTATTTTGCAATTATGCTCCGCCCCTCGGTCTGACAACGAATGAAAAATTCATCACGATTGAGATCGAGACGGATGGGTGGGGCTTCTCTTTTGATTTTCTTTTTTAATTAATACATTTAGTGGTCTTTGTATAACACGATTACTTAAGAACAAAATTTATCCTAGATAAATAAGGATTTTACAACTATTAAGGATCCCCCTCTCGGGTTACGACGAATACAAAAAATCATCAGAATTGAGATAGGGCGGGTGGGCGGGGCTTATATTTTGGCATTTTTTTTCTTAATATATGTAGACTTATTTCCACAACAAAAAACTTAAAATATGTCTAAAATGCTAAATTTTCGTAGTAATCAACTTAAATCCTCCACTTTTCTTCTACAAACCCTTGAATTCCTTGGAATCTTTTCGTTACGGCAGTTGATTTTCAAACCGAAATTAGGATTCGTTTCAGCTAAGTCAGCGAATCGAACAGTGTTATTTTCCGATAGGTATGAGGGAAAAAATTCGAAAAAAAATCAGAATTCGAACATACTTTTTTAGTCAAGATGCTGGTCCCAACATTTTTGCTGGTTAGTGGACCAAATTTCAGGAGGTTGCGCATTCGAATAAGAAAAGTAAGGCGATAATTCAAATCTAAGAAATTTGGCGAAAAAATCAAAATTTTCATATCGATTTCAGAATTAGGTTCTTAAGTAATTTTGCACCACTAAAGCCATTTCTGGCATCAATTACAAAATGTATAAGACATCTGTCCGATTTCCATAAGAACAACATTTTTTGGGAGGTGAAAAATTTGTTTTCCGAATTTACGAACTCTTTGTTCCGGAACGGTAAGACGCAGAGCTTTGAGCTTTACATCGCTGGATTTACAGTGAATTTTCAAGCCGAAATTGGGATTCGTTTCAGTGTATGACAACCATAAATCGAACGGTGTTATTTTCTGGCAGTAGATATGAAAAAATTTGAAAAAAATCAGGAGACTTCGAATATTCTTTTTTAGTCAAAATGATCGTTCCCGACATTTCTGTTAGTAAATAGGCCAAATTTCAAGAGGTTGCGTGTTCGAATCAGGAAATAATAAGGATTTTGCAGTTAAATTTCGCTCCAACAGCTTTCAACGATTAAAAAAAAATCATCACAATTGAGATAGGGTGGGTGGCTGGGGCTTATATCTTGCCTTTTTTCTTAATATATGTAGTCGTCTTTTCAGAACAAGAAACTTAAAACATGCTTAAAATGGTAAATTCTTGTAGACAAATATGGAGATTGCAATTAAGCCCCGCCCCTCGATCTGACAACGAATGAAAAATTCATCACAATTGAGAATTGAGATCGGGGCGGGTATGGGTGGGGCCTAATCATTCTTTATTTATTTTTTAAATACACACAATATTCTTTGAATAACATGATACTCAAAAACATGTTTTTAATTTCTCATAGAGAAATAAGGATTTTTTGCAGTTAAGCTCCGCGTTCTTGGCTCACGACGAATAAAAAAAAATCATCACAATTGAGATAGGGTGGGTGGGTGGGGCTACATTTTGCCATTGATTCTTAATATGTGTAGACTTATTTCGACAACAAGAAACTTAAAACATATCTAAAATAGTAACTTTTTGTAGTAACCAACTTAAATCCTCCAATTTTCTTCTACAAAACCCCTTGAATTCCTTGGAATGTTTTCGTTACGGCAGTTGATTTTCAAACCGAAATTAGGATTCGTTTCAGCTAAGTCAGCGAATCGAACAGTATTATTTTCCGATAGATATGAGGGAAAAAATTTGAAAAAAAAAAACAGAAGAACTCGAACATACTTTTTTTTAGGCTCGATGTTGGTTGCGACATTTTTATTGGTAATAAGACCAAATTTGAGAAGGTTGCGCGTTCAAATAAGAAAAGTAAGACGATATATTCAAATCTAAGAAATTTGCGAAACAAAAATTTGTCGAAAAAATCAAAATCTTCATATCGATTTCAAAATTAGATTCTTAACTAATTTTGCATCGCTAAACCCAGTTCTGGCATCCATTATAAGAGGTATAAGACATTTGTCCGATTTTCACAAAAAGAACATTTTTTGGAAGGCGAAAAATATGTTTTCCGAATTTACTAACCCGTAGTTCCGGAATGGCAAGGCGAAGAGCTTTGAGCTTTACATCGCTGGATTCCTTGGAATTTTTTCGTTACGACAGTTGATTTTCAAGCCAACATCGACATTACGATTCGTTTCAGTCTATGACAGCCATACACATATTAAAAAAAAAGATAAAATATAAGCCCGCCCACCCGCCCTGCCTCAATTGTAATCAATTTTTTTAATCACCTGAACCAAGGGGGCGGAGCTTAACTGCAAAATATTTATTTCTTTACAAGAAATTAAAAACCTGCTTTGAGTAGCGTGTTGTTCAAAAATACTGTGTATATTAAGAAAAAAAGGCAAAATATAATCCCCGCCCACCCGCCTCATCTCAATTGTAATGATTTTCTTTATTCTTAGGAAATTAAAACACGTTTAAAATGGTGAACTTTTGTATGGATTTTGCAATTAGGCTCCGCCTCTAGGTCTGTCAACAGTGAAAACTTCATTAGTATTTTGTATGTATAGTATTTTTCGAAAAACACGATACTCAAAAACATGATAATTTCTTGTAGAGAAATAATAAAGATTTTGTAGTTAAATTTCGTTGCCACGTCTCTTTATTTATTTACGATTAAAAAACATCATAACAATTGAGATAGGGCGGGTGGGCGGGGCTCATATTTTTCCTTTTTTTATTAATATACGTAGTCGTCTTTTCAGAACAAGACACTTAAAACATGTTTAAAATGGTAAATTCTTGTAGACAAATAGGTATGCATTTTGCAATTAAGCCCTCCCCCTCGATCTGACAACGAATGAAAAATGTATCACAATTTTTTTCTTAATATACATACCTAGTAGTATTCTTTTCACAATAGTTACTCAAAAACGTGTTTTTAATTTCTCGTTGAGAAACAAGGATTTTGCAGTTAAGCGCCGCCTTCTTGGCTCACGACGAATAAAAAACAATCACCACAATAGAGATAGGGCGGGTGGGCGGGGCTCCATTTTGCCTTTTTTTCGTAATATGTGTAGACTTATTTCGATAACAAGAAACTTAAAACATGTCTAAAGTGGTAAATTTTTGTGGTAATCAACTTAAATCCTACAATTTTCTTCTACAACCCGTTTAAATATTAAGAGCAGCTTGGCAACGGAGTTTATAAATTTTCAGCTCTAAAAACAACGTCACCGGGAACGGCGACTTCAACGTCAACAGCAAATTTATAAATCTCACTTTACATCGCTGGATTCTTTGGAATTATTTCGTTTCGGCAGTTGATTTTCAAGCCGAAATTAATATTCAGGAAATTGCGCGTTTAAATAAGAAAAATTAGGCCGTATGCTCAAATTTAAGAAATTTGCCAAACAAAAATTCAAAATTAAACTAATTTTGGATCTCTAGATCCATTTCTGACAAATATGACGTTAGATTTTCAAGCTCTTTATTCTTCTGTATTGAGAAGTGACTATAATATAAATACAAAACAGTTTTCTCCGATCTTGTCAGTTTTTGCCCCGGCTTGAGATCGCCCCACGTAATCCCCATAATACAAGATTCCACCCGAGCCACGGTGTAGTGTTACTCTCGAAAAAAACTCGCCGGGAAGTTTGCAATTGAAATTCTTGTCGTTGTAAGAGTGCAACAGTAGGAACTCAAACATTGAAAGTATCCATTTTCAAACGCTGGCGAGGCTCCTATTTCTGTGAAAACACACACGACGGAACGAAATTAAAAAAAAGTTCTTGAGACGTCAGCGTGTTCATTAGTATTCTCGAGAGCATCTCCGTGAAGTGGGTGCTGTTTACCGAGCCATTATTTCTGTAAATGTTACAGTGCTTTCTTGAGGTGGGACGTAACAGTTTCATAACCCGAAGCTGCTTGGATAGAGGATGACAATTAAGGCCAGTTGGGTGAAAACTTACAATAATAGAATTATAATACGCCGTATTTGTCGAAAGTCGAACCGGAACTCGTAATACGTACAACTAAACAAATAAAAAGTGATAATTATTATTAAAAATAACTTGCAACTCTTGACTTGAACGATAAAATACAAGCATAAAGTATATTTAGAACAACTGAGATAAATATACCGGGTGTCTGAACCTACTTGTTCCTCTTTAGTATCTCTGTCATTAGGAAAGAGTGAAGTTTGAAATTTAGAATCGTTAATGAACATTAAGACATTTATTAAAAGAATACACGAGTAGTATTATATCACTTTCGGCTTTTCCGGCAGTGACTGCAACTTTTTTTTCAAACAAAATAGTGTATTTTACGCTCTTTAGTTATTAACTAATCGTCCCCTTTCACGTCACAAGCACGTACATATTAAAAACCGGTCGTGATAGGAAAACTAAGTTTTTTTCTTCGGGTGATAGAAATTATTGCCTGCGATGGAAGCAGTTGTAGGACAAACCAATTATCTTCAAGTACAAAAGGATTCGAAAAAACACATTGATTTGAATGAGTCGATATTGGATGGGACGTCAGACGCAACATTTCAGTCGCCATCGGCGCCACAAAAGAGTAAATTTGCAGGCGAGAGTCGAGATGGCATTGTGACATCGTCTTTATTCGAGATCAGATTTCAATACGGAAAATGGTGGAAATTATAATTTGAAAAACTCGCGCAAATCGGAGAGAAATTTGCCGGCGCCAGAGAGAAAGAAAACAATCTAACTGCTGGGCAACGAAAATGTCCATGCATGACGCAATAACATGTGTACTCACTAGGACTCGACGGCTCCGACGAATCCGACGTGGGGAACGTGTTCCTCTGCATCAGTTGCTGGATGCCCATGTCCTGTTGCGGCAGGGTGGGCGGGTTGACCGGCGGCGTGCTCTCCCCGACCACCGTCGACGGGGTGGGAAAGAGGATTCCCAGCTCCCGGGCCTCGTTCTCCTCCTGGGCTTGCTGGCGTCGGAGGGCGACCTGGGCCGCCATCACCCTCTGTCGTTCCGCGATGAGGGTGCACTTGGCGCAGTTGCAGTCGCGCCACCGGCAGTACCTCTTGTGGCCCTTAAGGGCCGAGACGACGCCGTGGTTGCGGCACCGGGCGCACTTGGGGGTGCGCTGGTAGCGCTCGGACGCCCGCAGGAAGAACGCCGGGGGGATGGCGCCCAAGACCGGGTGCTGGGACATGAGGGAGGTCATGTCCACGCCGCTGCCGGGGATGCTCATGTTGACGGTCTGGAAGAGGAACGTTGTCAGACTCCGTTTGAAAAGTACAAAAAAATCCAACATTCTTTTACAGTCTAGATAATGGTTCGGCTCCGGACCTGTAAGACCTAGAGATTTAAGCTTTGCACTAATCGGTTCCTTGGAATTTTTTGGTCGTATCAGTTGATTTTCAAGCCGAAACTAGAATTCGTTTTCGTTTATGACAATCATAAATCGAACGCTGTTATTTTCCGATAGGTGTAAGGAAAAAATTGGAAATAAAATTACAAGCTTTCGAACATTATTTTTTGAGTCTAGATTCTTATTCTCGACACTCTTAATAACAAATAGACAAAATTTCAGGAGGTTACGCATTCGAATAAAAAAATTATTACGATATTTCCAAATCAAAGAAATTTGAGGAACAAAAATTTAGCGAACAAATGAAAATCTTCACATCGATTTCAAAATTATGTTCCCAACTAATGTTGCGTCGCAAAATTTAGTTCTGGCCCCAATTATAAGATATCTGTCGATTTCCATCCGAACAGAATTTTTTGGAGTTCGAAAAAATGTTCTACGAATTTACGAGTTCGTACAACTCCGGAACCGAAAGACCTAGAGAATTAAGCTTTACGCTAATCGAATCCTTGGAATTTTATGGTCGCATTAGTTGATTTTCAAGCCGAAACTAGAATTCGTTTGCGTTTATGACAATCATAAATCGAACGCTGTTATTGCCCTATAGGTGTGAGGAAAAAAATTGGAAATAAAATCAGAAGCTTTCGAACACTATTTTGACTCTAGATTCTTATTCTGGACATTCTTAATAACAAATGGACAAAATTTCAGGAGATTACGCATTCGAATAAAAAAATTATTACGATATTTTCAAATCAGAGAAATTTGAGGAGCAAAAATTTAGCAAAAAAATGAAAATCTTCACATCGATTTCAAAATTATGTTCCCAACTAATTTTGCGTCGCTAAATCTAGTTCTGGCCTCAATTATAAGATATCTGCCGATTTCCATCCGAACAGAATTTTTTGGAATTCGAAAAAATGTTCTACGAATTTACGAGTTCGTACAGCTCCGGAACCGAAAGACCTAGGGAATTAAGCTTTACGCTAGTCGATTCTTTGGAATTCTTTGGTCGCATCAGTTGATTTTCAAGACGAAACTAGAATTCGTTTGCGTTTATGACAATCATAAATCGAACAATGTTACTTTCCGATAGGTGTAAGGAAAAAAATTGGAAATAAAATTAGAAACTTTCGAACATTATTTTTGACTCTAGATTCTTATTCTGGACGTTCTTATTAACAAGTAGACAAAATTTCAGGAGGTTACGCATTCGAATAAAAAAATTATTACGATATTTCCAAATCAGAGAAATTTGAGGAACAAAAATTCAGCGAAAAAATGAAAATCTTCACATCGATTTCAAAATTATGTTCCAACTAATTTTGCGTCGCTAAATCTAGTTCTGCCCTCAATTATAAGATATCTGTCGATTTCCATTCGAACAGAATTTTTTGGAGTTCGAAAAAATGTTCTACGAATCTACGAGCTCGTATAGCGCTCCGGAACTAGAGATTTAAGCTTTGCGCTAATCGAATCCTTGGAATTTTTTGGTCGCATCAGTTGATTTTCAAGCCGAAACTAGAGTACGTTTTCTTTTATGACAATCATAAATCGAACACTGTTATTTTCCGATAAGTGTAAGGAAAAAATTTGAAATAAAATCAGAAGCTTTCGAACATTCTTTTCGACACTAGATTCTTATTCTGGGCATTTTTAGAAAAATTTGAGAAGCAAAAATTTAGCGAAAAAATTAACATCTTCACATCGACTTCAAAATTATGTTTATAACTAATTTTGCGTCGCTAAATCTAGTTCTCTGATCAATTATAAGATATCTGTCGATTTCCACCCGAACAGAATTTTTTGGAGTTCGAAAAAATGTTCTACGAATTTACGAGTTCGTACAACTCCGGAATCGAAAGACCTAGGGAATTAAGCTTTACGCTAGTCGAATCCTCGGAATTTTTTGGTCGCATCAGTTGATTATCAAGCCGAAACTAGAATTCGTTTGTGTTTATGACAAGCATAATTCGAACGCTGTTATTGTCCGATAGGTGTGAGGAAAAAAATTGGAAATAAAGTTAGAAGCTTTCGAATATAATTTTTTGACTCTAGATGCTTATTCTGGACATTCTCAATAACAAATAGACAAAATTTCAGGAGGTTACGGATTCGAATAAAAAAATTATTACGATATTTCCAAATCAGAGAAATTTGAGGAACAAAAATTTAGCGAAAAAATGAAAATCTTCACATTGGTTTCAAAATTATGTTCTCAACTAATTTTGCCTCGCTGAATCTAGTTGTGGCCCCAATTATAAGATATCTGTCGATTTCCATCCGAACAGAATTTTTTGGAGTTCGAAAAAATGTTCGACGAATTTACGAGTTCGTACAGCTCCGGAACCGAAAGACCTAGAGAATTAAGCTGTACGCTAGTCGAATCCTTGGAATTTTTTGGTCGCATCAGTTGATTTTCAAGCCGAAACTAGAATTCGTTTTCGTTTAGGACAATCATAAATCGAACGCTGTTATTGTCCTATAGGTGTGAGAAAAAAAATTGTAAATAAAATTAGAAGCTTTGGAACACCATTTTTGACTCTAGATTCTTATTCTGGACATTCTTAATAACAAATGGACAAAATTTCAGGAGGTTACGCATTCGAATAAAAAAATTATTACGATATTTCCAAATCAAAGAAATTTGAGGAACAAAAATTCAGCGAAAAAATGAAAATCTTCACATCGATTTCAAAATTATGTTCCCAACTAATTTTGCGTCGCTAAATCTAGTTCTGGCCTCAATTATAAGATATCTGTCGATTTCCATCCGAACAGAATTTTTTGGAGTTCGAAAAAATGTTCGACGAATTTACGAGTTCGTACAGCTCTGGAACCGAAAGACCTAGAGATTTAAGCTTTACGCTAATCGAATCCTTGGAATTTTTTGGTCGCATCAGTTGATTTTCAAGCCGAAACTAGAATTCGTTTGCGTTTATGACAATCATAAATCGAACGCTGTTATTTTCCGATAAGTGTGAGGAAAAAAATTGGAAATGAAATTAGAAGCTTTCGAACATTATTTTTGACTCTAGATTCTTATTCTGGACATTCTTAATAATAAATAGACAAAATTTCAGGAGGTTGCGCATTCGAATAAAAAAATTATTACGATATTTCCAATTCAGAGAAATTTGAGGAACAAAAATTCAGCGAAAAAATGAAAATCTTCACACCGATTTCAAAATTATGTTCCCAACTAATTTTGCGTCGCTAAATCTAGTTCTGGCCTCAGTTATAAGATATCTGTCGATTTCCATCCGAACAGAATTTTTTGGAGTTCGAAAAAATGTTCTACGAATTTACAGGTTCGTACAGCTCCGGAACCGAAAGACCTAGAGAATTCAGCTTTATGCTAATCGAATCCTTGAAATTTTTTGGTCGCATCAGTTGATTTTCAAGCCGAAACTAGAATTCGTTTGCATTTATGACTATCATAAATCGAACGCTGTTATTTTCCGATAGGTGTAAGGAAAAAAATTGGAAATAAAATTGGAAGCTTTCGAACATTATTTTTGACTCTAGATTCTTATTCTGGCCATTCTTAATAACAAATAGACAAAATTTCAGGAGGTTACGCATTCGAATAAAAAAATTATTACGATATTTCCAAATCAGAGAAATTTGAGGAGCAAAAATTTAGCGAAAAAATGAAAATCTTCACATCGATTTCAAAATTATGTTCCCAACTAATTTTGCGGCGCTAAATTTAGTTCTGGCCCCAATTATAAGATATCTGTCGATTTCCATCCAAACAGAATTTTTTGGAGTTCGAAAAAATGTTCTACGAATTTACGAGTTCGTACAGCTCCGGAAGCGAAAGACCTAGAGAATTAAGCTTTACACTACTCGAATCCTTGGAATTTTTTGGTCGTATCAGTTGATTTTCAAGCCGAAACTAGAATTCTTTTGCGTTTATGACAATCATAAATCGAACGCTGTTATTGTCCGATAGGTGTGAGGAAAAAAATTGGAAATAAAATTAAAAGCTTTCGAACATTATTTTTTGACTCTAGATGCTTATTCTGGACATTCTTAATAACAAATAGACAAAATTTCAGGAGGTTACGTATTCGAATAAAAAAATTATTACGATATTTCCAAATCGGAGAAATTTGAGGAGAAAAAATTTAGCGAAAAAATGAAAATCTTCACATCGATTTCAAAATTATGTTCTCAACTAATTTTGCGTCGCTAAATCTAATTCTGGCCTCAATTAGGTATAAGATATCTGTCGATTTCCATCCGAACAGAATTTTTTTGAGTTCGAAAAAATGTTCTACGAATTTACGAGTTCGTACAACTCCGGAACCGAAAGACCTAGAGAATTAAGCTTTACGCTAATCGAATCCTTGGAATTTTTTGGTCGCATCACTTGATTTTCAAGCCGAAACTAGAAGTCGTTTTCGTTTATGACAACCATAAATCGAGCGCTGATATTTTCCGATAGATGCAAGGAAAAAAATTGTAATAAAATCAGAAGCCCTTGAATATTCTTTTCGAGTCTAAGATGATTGTTCTGGGTCTTGTCAATTTTAAATAGACCAAATTGTAGGAGATTCCGCCTACCAATAAAAAAATTGGGGCGATAAAATTTATGTATTTATCCTCACCGGAAAGAATAGGTATATTAAGGAATCTGTGTGAAAATTTCTTGGTGTCAGTTGCCGACACAGGATGTTTCAAAAATACAGAGCACAAATAACAATAAAAATTAAACCAACAAACGAAAAAAAAATCAGAGCTTTATAGAAAATTACTTTTTATTTTATTTAGATGTAAGTATATTTTTTATAGCTAACAGACCGTGTAATAAGCTCTTTGACAGTTTTAACTAACCAACGTATAGCACAGTACAAAATGTCTACAGACTTGTGCACAACTTG